CTAAATTAAAACATTATTTATCATTCAATTAAATACAATTAAATCAATAGTAAATAAATCTGCAGCATATAAAGAGTCCTATCAAATAAAATCACATTTAATTTTGTATGAAAACTGAAAAAATCATCTAATTTGATAAAAAACCTTTCTCTAAAAAATCAATTAATTGGATGATAATTATGTGTAAAAAAAAGAACGTATGAACCAAAACAAAATTGGTAAAAAGAGTTGTTCTGTACTTGCGCTTATATAGTTCAAGGCTTTTATCTGAATGCATAATCACACACAAGCACAAGTCAAAGTAACTTCTGCTTCCTCTTGTTCTCTGCCATGGCTGGTTCAGTGTCGGGTGACACAGAAGCGCAGCGCTCTAGCAAGCGCGGTGGCTGGATCACTTTTCCGTTCATGATCGGTTTGTGTTTTTGTGTTTTTGACCCCAAATTATAACATAGAAAAATTGGAATTTAGTTCTATATGGTTCAGCTACGTTGTTAGGTCTGTCCATAACTTCTTTCGGATGGGGAATGAACTTGATCGTCTTCTTGATTGAGGAATTCAACATCAAGAACATCGCTCAGATTTCAAACATTGTCAATGGTTGCGTCAGCATGTTGCCTTTTATTGCAGCCATTTTAGCTGATTCTTTCTTTGGAGACATCCATGTTATTGTCGTCTCTGCTTTCATTTCTCTGACAGTAAGTCCAGGACTCAGAGTTGATTCTCTTCTATGTTCGCATACATAAAGCTCAACAGTTGTAAACATTTTCAGGGAATCCTTCTCTTGACTCTGATCTCATCTTTGGACTACTTGAGACCGCGACCGTGTGAAACGGGTTCAATCCTATGCCAGTCTCCGTCTAAACTTCAGCTTGGGATCTTGTACACAGCCTTAGCTATACTGACCATTGGATCAGGTGGAACGAGATATACCTTGGCATCCGCAGGTGCAAACCAATATGAGAAACCTAAAGCTCAAGGAAGCTTCTTTACATGGTACTTCCTCACACTAAACGCAGGCGCGATTATTAGCACAACAGCAATTGTTTATACGCAGGAAAACGTTAGCTGGAAACTCGGGTTCGGTCTTTGTGGTGCTGCTAATTTGATCAGTTTCATTGTTTTCATCTCCGGGAAGAGATTCTACAAGCATGACACTCACAGGCCTGAGCCGCGTAGTAGTTGCTGCTACCGCGAAAAGAAAGGCTGTGATTTCTTCCAAAGAAGAGGACTATTACCGTGGACTCGCAAAAGCGGCCAAGACTTCTGCTGTAATGCCCTCCAAGAGCTTCAGGTGAAAAAAAAACCTTGGCTGATATATGAAACTTGAACCAGAGTTTAAGGACTTTTACATCTGCAGGTTCTTCAATCGTGCAGCGTTGAAGACCGATGACGACTTAAATCAGAAAGACGGATCAGCTAATAACATCTGCAGGCTATGCTCTGTTCAGGAAGTAGAAGATTACAAAACCATTCTCCGGCTAATTCCTCTGTGGCTAGCTATATCTTTGTTAGTATTCCCATGGTAATGCAAGCAAGCTTGGTTGTACTCCAAGCTCTAGTCACGGAGGGTAAGGTTGGTCCTCACTTCAAAGTCCCGGCTGGTTCCCTCCTAGTCATAGTACC